ACTACTTATTCAACTTCACTGATCATTTCCTCTGCAGTATCTAAAATCTGCTGTTCAAACAATCCAGCGAAGTTTTCTTTTCATATGGGGTATTTTTAAGCTCCAGAAGTTACCTTTGTTTTCTTTTTTATGTCTTCTATTTCTGTACTCATTATGTTCATATTTTGCTTTAAGTTTATGAATATATTTAAAATATCTGAATTGAAGTCTTTCTCTGCCAACTGGTATCATGTCTGTCATTTTTGCTTCAGTTTCTGTTAACTGATTTTTCTCCTGATTATGGGTCTCATTTTCAAGCTTCTTTGCATGTTTAGTAATTTTGATTGGATGCTAGACATTGTAAATGTTACATTGTGGCGTGTCTGGATTTTGATGTGTTCATGTAAAAAATATTGAGTTTTGTTTCTGTGGTTATTTAAATTACTTATGAATCAACTTGATCCTTCTGAAAAGCTTATTTTTGTGGTGGTTCTAAAGTAGCCTTCACTCTAGGGCTAGTTTAGTCCCACTGGCAAGCCGTGACCTCCTACTGTTTCTACTGAATTACCCAGGCGTTTGACAAGGCCTCCCTTGTGAAGATCATTGGAAGTTGAACATTTCCCAGACCTTTGTTAACTCTGGGTGTTAGTCAGCTTTACAGGGTTCCGTTAGGTCTTCTTTCCCAGTAATATGTTGTCTAGCCTCGTGCAGTGTTACCTTATACCTTACCAGCTTAGTATTCAGCCCAAGTCTCAAGTAGATCCTATGTAGATTTCTGGAGCTTCTCTTCTGTGTTGCTCCCTCCTTTCTGATACTGTACCCTGAAGATTGTATTTGCCTCTGCCCCTCCACACTCTGGCCTCTTTATCCTTAACTCAGCATGGTTACCATGTTCTATGCTGTTTTCTGAAAAGAGCCTCCTGGGTGAAAGCTGGGCCATCTTCGTGCCCACTTCATTTGTTTTCCTTCTTTCAGGGATCACAGTCCTTTACTATTATTCAATATCTAAAAGCATTTATTTTACATATAAGTCCAGTTTTATAGTTTTTTATGTTGGGAAGGCAAGTCTAGTCCAATTTTTCTATCATACCAGAAGCGAGAGTCTTCTCGGTCCCTTTCATCTGTTTTCTTTCTAATTGAGGTAAAATTCACATAACAAAAATTAACCATTTAAAAGTATATCCTTTCATCAGTTTTTTAAGTCAACTTTTAGAATGTTCTAAATTCTTCCTATTTGGCCAGATTATACTTAATCAAATAAAATATTTTAAAGGATTTGGAGTGAGAAACTTTCCTTATATAGACTTGAGTCAGTAAAATAGAATGTTAATATTCTCTTTCTTAAAGAGAATTTCACTTACCTGAATGGATTTAGATTGGTTTCTTTTAAAAGGCTAAGAACACAGAATCCTATATATGTTAGGTTATACTATAAATTACATCTTAAGCTGATAAACTGTAGTTGATGTACATCTTGGATGAAAGTAAATACTCAGAAAAGCAATAGAAAACAAGTAAGTCCCCTCATACGAACCTTCAAGTTGCGAACTTTCAAAGATGCGAATGTGTGTTCACATGTCCAGTCACGTAAGTTAGTTCACGTGTCTGGTGTGCACTGTCACGTGCATGCATCCTCTACAAGAGGTTGTGCTTTTGTGTACTTTACAGTACTGTATAGAGTACAGTAGTACAGTATCTTTATTTCAAGCCCAGGATGTCCGCAAGCAAGTGTAAAAGCAGTGGTGATCTAGCTGGTACTGCTAAAAAGACCAGGAAATGGAGGCCCAGAGAAAGGACGAAGAGAGACAAGAGGAGGAAGAAGTAACTGAAGAGCCAAAGAGATTCATGATGCAGGAAATGGCTAGGGGATTTTCTTTATTTGAGGGGGCACTGTTAGTTTTTGAGGCACAGGACCCGAACATAGAACAGTACACAAAGGTTGAAGCAGCCGTTCAGAATGCAATCCGGTGCTACCGTGTCATCTATGACAAGAAAAAAAGGGCTACTACCCAAACATCACTGGATTGTTTTCTCAAGAGGGTAGATAGAATTGAATCCAGCGAGGAACCAAAACCTGTGCCACCATCATCAGATGTGAGTGAACTTGCAGTTTGCCCTCTGTCTCCTGTTGCTGACGATCCTTCACCGCTAGCATCTCCCACCTCCTATCCTTCCTCCAGTCAGTAACTCTTCTTGCCTGTCCACTCGATGCCAGCCCCTGTATGCCAGCTGCTGTACTGTACTACTGTACTTTTCAAGGTACTGTATTGTAAGAGTAAAAATGTTTATTTTTTGTTTTTTTTATGCATTATTTGTATGAAAAGTATTATAAACCTATTACAGTACTATATAGCCAATTGTGTTAATCCGGTACCTAGGCTAACTTTGCTGGACTTACGAACAAATCGGACTTAACGAATGTGCTCTCAGAACGGAACTCATTTGAATATGGAGGACTTACTGTAAAAACAAAAGGACATGATTAAGAATCACCTCTTTGGGAACAAAGAGTAGGAAAAAAGAATTGATTAGTAGCCTTTACTCCAAGCATTCTGTTTTATTATACTTTTAAAATCATGCTTAGTTTTTCACATTTACACTTCTTTTGCCCACCCGAGGAACTGAGTTGCTGGTTTCTTCTCTTGAGGTTGCCCATTGTGGTTATCGTGAGCTGTAGCTTCTCTTCGTATGAGTCCTGCCTGACTTAATAGTCTTTAATAGTTGGAGAAGCTTTTGACTCATTTTGTAGTATTAAGAGAAGAGACAAAATTTTAAAAATTATTGAAGCTGTTATATTTTCTCAATCTGTGTTTCTGTGAGAACTGTTGAAGCAAGGCTCAGAAAGCAGTGTCTAGGGGCAAATATGTGAATAAGTTGGCTTTAGGGAGCTTTCAAAAGATGAAGCTTGGAGGGATCTAGGACTTGAACACTGGGCCAGCACATAGGGATTAGAATGTCTACTGATAGTGGAGGTCAAGGCAAGAAACTAGAGGCGAAGGCTGGGATATAAAGAATCTTGCAGGCTAGGAGAGCCATAGGGGAGGAGGTGCTGGGTAGCAAAGTGACTCAATTTAATTAGACTAAAAGGACAGTTAGATGTGAGGTGCCTGTAAGGAAAAAACAGGCAACTCTTGGTTTGGTGATTCTTATTTTTTGGATAGGACAAGATCACAACTTATGTATAAGAATAGGCAAGCCACATTATAAAGAGTTTAATTTGGCAAAAATTGGAGCTGTGCAATCATGTATAAAGACAGATTATAATATCAATACAGGCATCGATCTAATTAGAATGCATTAAAACTTTTTGGTTTTGAAATAATTTGTCATTTTTTAAAAGCTGCAATGTATTAATACATAGTTAGGAGAAAGTAGCATTTCTCTTCATAATACCTACCTAGATTTAAGGAGTGTCATGTTGCTATGCTACTCTCTTGCCACTGAAACACCATGAATACACATCACTTATATTTGTATGTGAATTCCATAGATTAAGCCATTTGTTGCCAGTTCTTTTCAAGTTAAACATTTTTTTTTAGGGCAAGCAATTTTCATCTTTTTCTTCTCAGTTTGACGCCTTCATACTTAAAACACATTAACAAGGGAAGAGTAATGGAAGAGTTTGGGACTGCCAAAAACCTTGACTAGGTTCCCAGGAGAGAGAAAAATACTCCTATCTTGTCTGTAGTGAAGAAAACCTGAGTCTAAAGGACACCTTAAAATCCTTTGGAATTCTCTGTAAACATCAGAAACTAGTAAAGGATTTTCAGAGTTTTAATAATGAGCAGTAGAAGCTGATTGGATGTTCAAATTCTATGCATTAGTCTTCTGTGAAGAGTTCTGCCCAACAGCTTTTATATTTTGGGTGCTTTGTTTTGTTTTTTTCCACTCACATGAGTTCAATTTCTTAAGGTTTTTTAGAATGATTTTCTTTGCATAAGACCCTCATCAAAGTTTATTTGCTAGCAAACCTGGTTTTCCTACAAACTTGAAGAAATAATTGAAAGTTGATGGTAGTCCTGACTAGCAGTTGCTCTGCCTAGAATAAATTGTGTGTGTGTGTGGTGTATGTAACAGTTTTGGTCAGCTACACTGACAGAGCTGGGCCAAGACATTTTCCTGCCTGTTAATCAAGGACACACAGACAAAGCTCAAGGAAGGATGACCCCTGTCTCAGGAAGTATCGAATCAGTTGCTATTTTTAAACAGTATACAGTAGAACTTGAGATCAGGTCTTTACTCAGTTGACAGGAAAAGTTCTCTGCCAAATTTTGCATTTGAGGAAACAGTTAATGGGCCTAAATGAGTGAAGCCTCTATGTGAAAGGAAGGGATGTGACTGTAAGTATTTTTGCTGATTTGGGTCAAGTGTGTGGTGGCAGAGATGTGGAAAATTCAGTGACAAAGTAGGTTATTACATTTCAAAGTAACTGATAGTTAATGGCACCTTGGATTGTCTTTAGTGACAGTGGTGTGTATGGAATTCTGTGTTGCTAATAGTAAAGTTGAAATAAGGGTATGTGATGAGCTAATATTATCTCAACGTAGCACTGGAGAAGGAAATCAGCTGTTGGTGTGTTTCCAGACTGACTGGCTCTTCCTCTGGATGTATACATAAACTTTTTGGTTATTTGAGATGTATTTCTGTATGCTTTTTATAATACTCTGTTGGTCCTTGTTTCATTAACAGAAGGTTTCGTAAAGAATTGATTTATCACAAAATAATATTGTATACTACTATGTGTAATCTCTTATAAAACCTCATTCTACTTAACTTTAGGAAATTAAATATGCAGAATGTTAAAGCAGACAATTTGAGAAATACCATAAGTAATATTTTCTCTGTAATATTATACCACCATCTTAGGAATGCCTTTATGAGGTTGAATTGCTTAATGGATGACAGGTACATCTTTACATACGAAATGTAAGCGACTTATTTAGGGATAGGTGGGCAGTGTTTTAGTGGAGTTTAAATTAGGAAATTATAAAACTGTTAACATATTCATTTCATTTTAATAGGATTATTCAAGATAAAGTTGTAGCCATTTTCAACAAGGATTGATGATCAGAATTTTTCTTTTTAAAACATTTTCAAGTTAAAGATGAAAGGAAAATGCTGGAATTGTTTGGATTCTAACTGACAGGATAAAGAATATAGTATTTCACAGTTACTTGTAATGGAACCTCAGTAAAATTCATCACTTGTCATGCACCCAACTGGGAACATGGATGTTGGTTTTTCTCGTTCTGCTGTTCATACACTGTCAAGAAGCCACTGCAAAAACATCAAACAAAAAATTTCTCAGTGGGAAGGAAGAACTAATGGTAAATCTAATCCAGATAAGTGTGATCCAAAGGACTTTGGAGTGAGATATAATAACTGTAATCAAGAGATTCTTCTTAAGAGAAATCCTGTTGCTGAGGGAAAGAGCAAAAAGCTGGATGTCACCAACTCTCAAAATGTTGATCAGGGTATTAATGAAGATGCCAAAAGCCACAATCGAAGTGAGGATGAAAGTGAGAAACGTGAATATGATGATACACACTTCTTTAAAAATGAATCAGGATCCAACTGGGTATGTTCTCGGGCCAAACAAACTGAAAGCTGGAAAGAAGTTTTGGATCCAGAGACTTCATTACCTCCAGGAAATTTCTATACCTCACAGATATTGTGGAAGAAAATAGAAGCACTTCCCCCAGATAAAGTCTTAAATTTAGCTTTAGAACATTGTGACTCTTCAGAAAAAGAACTGAATTTCAGAGGTCTGGATAGTTCATATGGAGTAACGAAGAGCTTAGAAAACATTTACTCTGAACCTGAGGGACAAGAATGTGGACATTCTATAAATCCTTTGCCAAAACCTCGTAGGACATTCAGATATTTATCTGAATCTGGTGATATGCCATATAAAGAAAGAAACTGTGACAGAAAATACTGTGAAAATAATTCTTGTACAGAGCCCTCTTTAGCCTCTTCTCAGGAACCTGAACCAAAGAACTATGGCAGAAAAATCAGAGGGAGATCTAAAAGGTATGTTTTTATTTGAAAGGTAATGATTTTAAGTATTTTCCTTATAGAACTATTGAGCTTCTGTTTCCTTTTCAAATCAGTTTCCATTTCCATGTGTGGGTTACACCTATAATTTGATTATACAGATGTTGATTAACCCAAGGGGAAAATACATACAAGCGAAACAGTAGGAGTATAGGTAATACCCAGGACAATTTACTGACATAAGTACTGTAGAAAAACTTCCATTTTACATCTTTAAAAATGTATAGGGGACTTCCCTGGCGGTCCAGTGATTAAGACTTCGCGCTTCCAATGCAAGGGATGTGGGTTCGATCCCTGGTTGGGGAACTAAGATACTACCTGTCATGCGGTGCGGCCAAAAAAGAAAAAAACAATGTATAGGGAAGCAAGTACATTCTTCTACTTCATTTAGGACATGCTGGCATTAGCCTCACTTTTTATTACAGAGTGAATTTAATTAAGTACCCAAAGAAGAGCATGAATGTAATTGGCTAAAAGCCTCCAGTTTTCTCATGGTGCGTATAGGGCATCAGCCTAATTTATTATTCTTAGGTATCTGATAAAACACCTTTGTAATTTTGTACACTAAGTCCTTTTCTTATCAATTTGTGTCTATCATACCAATATAAAGAATACTAGAGTTTTACAAGATACAACTTTAAAATGTATCTCCTTTCTTAAGGAAATCCTTTGAATTTGAGGACATTCAGCACTTTCGAAATCAGAACTCACGGAAGATTCATGAAGAACTTAGAAGAAATTCTGGCTCAGCACTTTATTACACACAGTCTGAGGACAATATCTATGAGGATATCATATGTAGGTGTCCACAAACTTTGCAATTAAATTTAGTGAGTATGTAGTTGGTGGAGCCCTTAACTAGAGTATGTTATTTTCTTTTACAATCAAGCATGTCTTGCTCTAGATTTTCCTTTCTAATATTGAAACCTTGGTTGTATAAATTCCTTAATTCTCTAATGGATTTTACAACTAGTTTATTGGACTGTTCAGTTCAGAAGTAGATGTGTGTAGTATGGTATTTTGAGAATTCTTTGAGGTTGGTTGGACGCCTGAGTGGTTTGTGAGCTTAAAGTACCATTGATTTTGAGACCTACATCCCTACAGCAATGTAGAGTAGAAAGCTGAACATATTTAGTCAGTTTTTGCTTTCTTTTCCTTCTAAGTGTAGTCAGTGTGTTCCCATTTAATTATGTTCCTCTAAACTTTTTTTTTTCATTATTTTTCAAGATCCCACCAAAGAAAATCCATATGAAGATATTGCAGTGCAGCCTTTGCCCATGTGGAGGTCTCTTTCAACATGGAAGCTACCACCCCCTAAAAGTGCTTTCAAAGCACACAAGGTATAACCAGAGAAATAAGAAAATACTAGAATCTTATTTATGATCCTACAAAAAGGTTAAAATGGTTTAACTAGGGCCAAAACTCAGAGGCACTGAAATGTTGGTTTATTGTTCTTTGTTTTATTTTGGGGGGAGCAGCACAAAACTTTTTTTTGGTTTTGGGGAGGGGTTTTTGTTTGTTTTTTTAGCGCTTGAGAAGACTTGAATACAAACACCTTTAGACAGACCATAAATCTTTTTGTTCACTATAGTTACCACAGCACTGTAATAGTCTCACATCAACCTGTGGCCTAAATTACCTGTCTGGTCCCTGCAAGCACTCACCAGCCCTGAAAGCAAAGGCTGCCTTGAGTTAATCAGGACTCTGAGCTATTGTTTTCTGGAAATTTGATTACACTGTTGTAGAAGAACTTGGATTAGAAACCCAAGAAACTTCTTTACAAACAGTGAAAAAGAAATTACAGTGTCCTCATTTTAGATGATTTTAAAGGAAAGATAAATATTTTGGGGGGATAGCTTTGACTTTGAGAACACAGGCATTACCTAGATGATCTTACCTTAGCAGTACCTCTTCTGTTTTAGCTTCCTCCCAAACCTCAGTTACTTCACCGGAAGACTATGGAACCGAAGAACTCACAAGTTTATTTATGGTCAAAGCTCACAAAGGATACCACGTTGCCTGTCACTTTAACTGAATGGAAGCTTTTCCAAGCTGGAGAAGTTGCAAACAGGAAAAGGAAAAATCTTCCAAGGGTAAGAACTCCAGTACTTTGATTCTTCAACTCTTACTTCAGCATTTCCACAAATGCGAATAAATAAACTTTAGACTGAAACGAATAATAGGTTAGAACTGACCTACTGGAATTAGAAGATTTGGAAAGTAGCCTTAAGCTGAGTTTTTGCTCATGCAAGAAAAATGCATGAATGGCTTTTGCCAAGGTTTTTGTGTGTGTGTGTGGATTTGGAAAATTGATTTTAGATGGAGGGCTTCACTCTAGTTACCTTAGTTCTCATTAAAATCAGCTGCTGGTGTGAAGGAAGCCCTAGAACCTCATGTAAAAGGACCTTCTAGTAAGCTGGCTTCAGTGTTGTTCTCACTTATTTGTATAACAGCCAAAGTTAATTCCGTTTTGTGCCTGAGTTTACAAATTTTCGGTAATGACAAAGTATATGCCAAAAATGTCCACTCAAAGGAAGGAAAAAAGAAATTTTACTATTACTTGGGAAAAGAAATTTTTGCCAATTATATTAAATAAATGACTTCTTTCTCAAGGGAGAAAAGGCAATAAGTCTGTAAATCATCTCAATGAGAGCCACTGAACCAAAATAAAGAAATTTGGATTATTTGTAATATATATTTTTTAAGAGAGACATTTAAGAAATTACATGAAAATATTTAAAAACTGTTTATGTTATTTTGTTCTGTAATTCAGAATGTTTTCAGGATTACTATGCAGAAATAAAATCATTTAAATAGTATTCCTGTCTTTAATCCCATCTGAATTAGCTATATTCATTTAGCACATGATTTCTATACCTGATTTTAACATTGAACAAAAGTCATAGCTGTTTCTTGGTGTAGTAACTGCTGATTGGTTCCTTGGGAAATATTCTGTTCCACAGTTACTTTAATTCTTCTGATCCATTTCCTGCCCCTCCCTCTTTAATATGTGAAGTGTTAAAGACACAGAGTTTTTTTTAAAGCACTAAACTGATCTCTCTGGAAAAAAAAATCTTTAGGTGTTTATTCTCCTGTGTATGGTGAGGACTACTTAAAAATCAGAGGTTTAAAGAATTTCCAGGATGTATGTATATATAATGCATAACAATCACTTTCCTGTACACCAGGAACTAACACCGCATTGTAAATCAACTATACTTCCAAAAAAAAAAAGAATTGCTGGCACAACAAAGCAGCCTCCCACATGTTCCAGAAACAGCAGATCATGCGTTCACGGGGGCTAGAACACAAACACATAAGGAATTGTATTTAAGATGTGGTTCTTGGAATAGCATTAACAAATATTTAGAAATTATGGATTGTGGAATTTAATGAGACCCAAGGGTATTTGCAGTGCTTTTGATTTCATGCCTCAGTATTTTATGTACTGTGGATCCCTTGAGTACTCAAAGCCTGTTCTCTTTCTGATTATAGGTGAGATGATACAACTTTTCCTGTTTGGATATTTTCCCAAAGGTTTTCTTGAGAAGTGGGGAAGAGAAAAATGGTGATGAATTCTTGATTGTCAGGCAGGAACAGACTGTTAGCATTTCTACCTGTGACCCTCCTTGGATTAAATCCTTTTAGGATGTTTCATTTGCAATACAAGTTTTGGTTTTGGACTATCTTCGGGAACAACATTCCTTGAGGAAAGCAGTTTTCACTTATTTCCTCTTTGATGACTAGACCTATCTCTGGAAGGGAAACTGGTTTCATAGTTTGAAAGCAACTGATCTAGTCCATATGCCTCTTCCCTACCCTTCCTTTCTTTCTCTACTGTGGCAATCTGTGTGGGATTGTTTGCTAGAGTAGATTTCCTAATGTTTTATATTGTTTGTGTCAAGTGTGTACAGCAATATGGTTTCCATCATTTCTTAGGAAAACTATTCTACAGTATTTCCTGTAACTAGAAGGTAATTATAGGCTCCTAGCTCATAATCAAAATTTAAATTTTATTACTTTATCTCATATTTCTAGAATAGATAGTTCCCTTTCCTTTATAACATTTGAGTATACTTTTAAGTATACTTTTCAAATACACATTAATAATTCTACTATTTTTGGTCCTTATGTATCCAAAATACATGTTTACTCTCATACATCTTTCCTATAGCCCCTAGCAATACCTTTTTATGTTGGATTCTCTTATTTTTTTTAATAATGCTAATATTTAAGAATATTGGTAACTTTCCACTTGAATTATAGCTATGAAAATCTTTAAAAGAATAAACTCATCCAAAAATGTGGGAATAATCTGCATATTGGAAGCACATGTTTCTCACATGTTACTTTTCTTGCAGTGGACTGATTCACTGCTTATGGATTGCCAGGATTGCTAGAGAGACAAGGACAAAGGAAAAAACAAGAACATTTTTCTCAAGCAACTTTGTTGGTTATCATATTATATAATGTTCCTAACAACTGTAATTCTGGGCATTAAATATGTTAAATCAATATTGATAGTTAAGAAAATGTTTGGAATTTTAAGAAAAATATACATAGAAAAACTAATCAATTTCTCCTTTTAAAAGTGGCTGTTGATCAGCTTTAATTCTTTTCTCTTTTTTAAGCCCAGTCTGTCTGTCTGTCTCTATTATACACACTTCCCAGAAGCAAAGAAAGAATTTTAATGAATAATGCATATTAAATGGAACATTGTTTTGTACTTGGGCATATTTGAGAATCTCCTATTTTTATGACATGTTTCCAAAATAAATTATAATATTAGTGCTCCCAGTAGCAAAGGAGTATTCCTTTTGACTAAAGCTTTCTAAGCGTGATTATCCTCTCTTTGCAAAAATTCCTGGGAGCAGACATAACTGTGCCTCACCCTGCCTTACAAGTGAGTAAATATCCCACTTCCTACTCTGGGCTCGCAAAAACTTGAGCCCATTGGTAAGGCTTGGTCAATATATGGAGTGCAGTAGCCAGATTTCCTGCATGTTGTGACATGGAATGACAAGCAATCTCTCTCTCAGAACCTGTGCTAAACTTCCTCTGGAAAGGAAATATCCTTTCCCGCTTCTCTTACCCATGTTAAATGGAGTATGTATTAGAATAGCATATCATCTTACTAAAGATAATTTAGATTCAAAATTGAAAAATGTAAAGGTTTTTATTTATAAAATGGATCTTTCTCTGAACGAGAATCACTAATAAGTTAATATCAAGCTGCAAAACTTGTTGGTGTTTGTTTTAGCTTGTACTTTTCTGGTCTTTTTTCAGCTTGTATTGAAAATAGATGATATATTTGAATCTAAGAGAGGGAAGAAGAGGGTAAAGTTACACCCTTACACTGGAAAAGATGTACCTCCCTCTAAAGGTAAGAATTGTTCCAACTGCCCATAGCTATTAGCATATGAGGGGCAGATCATTAAATAATTTAATGTTTGATGTGAATTATAATTTTTGGTTTACTTTCCTGTCTATCCCACTTAAACATAAAACTTCTTTAGGCTAAGGGATTATTTCTTGTTCTTCCTCAAATCCCTTTTGTTTAGTTCTGTACCAAGTAATAACTATTGGATGAATAAGTAAATAAATTAAAAAATAGTTATAAACCAATGAGACTAATTTTCATGGACAGGTTGCATCCTTATTATGTAGTACTACTTTGATTTATAGTCTTTTGTCAGTACAGACTCTCTCAGTGGAGAAATGAAAATATTAAGTATATATATACTGAATGTATGTGGTATTCAACCTATAGTCATCTAATAAGTTCAGTAGTTTTATTCTTCAGATGCCTAGATAAAACTTAGATTGTCTTAAGAAACTTTCAACATCTATAGTGAATTATTATTGTAGAATCTTCTTTACAACTTTAACTTGGTTGTCTGGCAAAGGATGTGTAGAGTTTAGCAATTTTTGTCTGTGAGATTCATAAGTGAGAAACAACAGCCAAGTCATACCAGAAAAGAATATTTCATATTTTTGCAGACTTCCAAAGACAGAAATTTCTTCATTTCCATTGAAAATCTCTTCTTCATTCTAACAATTACTATGTGAAAATAAACTTCCCCATTCAATAATTCAAGACTCTTTCTTCTTACTTTGTGATGATTAAAATCATCTCATCACCATTTTAAATGTGAGTTTTCATATTTTCAAAAGCAATTATTACAACATTTCAGCCTTCTCTTCTGTAAAAGAAATACTTCTGGTTATTGTTAATAATAATAGCTACCATTTACTGAATGAAGTAATAGTTTCTTTATGTACTTTATCTGGTGTATAACGTATGACCACACTGGGAGGTAGGGACTGTCCTAATTTTACAGAGGAAGAAGCTGAGCCAGAGGAGGAAGCATCAATTTGAATCAAGGAACATGATACCACAAAGTCTTATTCTTCTCTATTATGATTGTTTTTCTAAATAATGGCATATAGCAAATATTATTGTTTTATAGATAAGGAAATAAATTATAAATTGCAAATTTTGTGAAATATCAAGACACTGGAACCAGGACAAATTCTTAGAAAACATTATCATTGTCGCATATTAACAGCACTCTATTGATAACTGTATTCACCAGATATGCCACCCTAGGTAGATGATTACCGATCTCTTATTTTATTTGAATGCTTTATGGATTAGGAACATTTTAGTAAATTTGGCTTGAAGAAAAGTTTTTGAAGAGCCATATCCTTTTTTTCACTGTATCATTATTGAAAAGAAAAAATTCAAGAGCATAAACTGCCAACTTCTAACACATACACACACAAAAAGGAGTAGTCCCTACAAATTTTTCTTTTGCGTGGCTCAAAGGAAATATGCATTTACTCAGTCTCTGTGGCCAACTCCTTCAGTGGACCCGAGGAATTTCTCTCATGCCTGAGGATCTCCTGGCTCAGTAGTCACAGTTCTCAGATTTTTGTTTACCTCCTTAAGCTTTTGTCTGTATATCAGCAATGCCTTATAGAACCAGATGATTATATTTACCTACTCTGCCAGTACCTGCTAGGTTTTACCGAATCTGTTGCAACCTAAACAGTTCTTTAACTCTCAGTTATCAGGTATCACAAAATGATTTATTGTCCTTCTTCAAAATTATAATTTTGTGTGTTGAAGTCACATTTTAAAAAGGGACAACCTAGTACTTTTTTGATCCCTACAGATTCTCAACAGATTTTCCTATTGGCTTATAAACCCCTTAACCTTCATTCAGTGTCTTGGAATGCAGATCATCAAAACCCATAGATGTGAATATGTTAAAGCCATTTAAATGATCTTTTGTAAGGTCTTTTCCAGGTAAATTACCTTTCCTCCCTTCCCTCTTTCTTTTTTTTTTGTCTTTCCAAACACTTCATGGGCTCCCAAGAGGTGCTTGGTGCTAAGGACACAAATAGGGCTCAGGAGCTCACAGTGTTTGTTCTTTCATACTGAACAATATTTTATAGCCCCAGTATACTTTTTGTCATTGTAGTTAGTTTGAAGTTATAAAACCTGTACAGTACACAATATTTAAATACCTGCTTTTTCTGTAACATGTCTTGTGTACCTTTCCCACATATCTAATGAAGAGACAGTATTTTTTTATGTTCTCTTCTTCCTTATTACAAAATTAAAATGAGCACAGCAAGAAATTACAATAATATAAAATAACATAAAACGGAAAGCCAAAGTTTCCCAAACCTCCTCCTACTAATCCCAGAAAATCTTATGCACGTGCAAATATTTTTTCTTCCCAAATACTTTTATACTATTCAGACTTTGTATATCTTGCTGTTTTAAAAAATATATAATTAATATACTTTGGAGGTCTTTTGGTATCAACACATAGAGACCCACATAGCTGTACTGTATTTCTTGGTATAGATGTAAAAGAATTTTATTTAGCTGGTAGACATTTTGGCTGTTTCTAACATTTTATTTAACCTGTGGATAATTAAGTTTTATAAATAGATAGGTAGATATATAGATATAGATTTTTTTCTTCAAACAATGCTGTAATATATATTTTTTGTTTATATATTTTTTTGTATGTTGGTAAGAATACATCTGTAGAATAAGTTCCTAGCAGTGTACTTAATCAAAGAACACATACTTTAAAGAACACATAAATTAAAATTTTTATAACTGCTGACAAATTGTCTCACAAATAGATTTTAACAACTTAAAAAAAAACAGCTTTGGGCTTCCCTGGTGGCGCAGTGGTTGAGAGTCCGCCTGCCGATGCAGGGGACACGGGTTCGTGGCCTGGTCCGGGAAGATCCCACATGCCGCGGAGCGGCTGGGCCCGTGAGCCATGGCCGCTGGGCCTGTGCATCCAGAGCCTGTGCTCTGCAACAGGAGAGGCCACAACAGTGAGAGGTCCACGTACCGCAAAAAAAAAAAAAAACAAAAAAAAAAACAGCTTTATATTTCTATGAAGAGCTTTTGAAAATGGTTTTTTCCTCGTAATCTTCATTAATACTGTGTTTTATTAGAGCTTTTTATTTTTTGCCAGTATCATGGTTGAAAAGTGTATCTTACCTATTGTTTTAAGTTATTAAATTTATTTTATTAATTATGAATTTGGACAGTTATGTTTATCAATAGTTATCAATCTTTTTCTATAAATTGTCTTTTCCTACCCTTTTATTCATTTTTTTTGTTGTGCTGTGTTTTTACTTATTCATTTGTAACAGCTATTTAAATGTTAAGAAACTTAGCCTTGCGCCTGCAATGTGGATTTCAAATATTCTCCCAGTTTATTTACCTTTTGAATTTACCAATGATTTTTTATTAGGTTAGAAATTTTACATTTTTATACAATCAAACTTCCATACATTTTTCATTTATGACTCCTAGTCCTTGTTTTTCCTGATATATTAAAATTTTTTCCCTTTCTTTATATTTTAAAATTTTGCTTTAACTTTTCAGACTTAATTTAGAAATTTTTCGTTCACCCGTTCACGATGTTTTGTTTTGTGTTTTGGTTGTTCTCTTTCTTTCTTTTTTTTTTTTTTTGTAAATTGACAATGTGCCTAGTATTGTACAGAACATTCCCTTCTAGAAACAGGCTAAAAGTATCTTAGCCTCAAGATACTTAAAATCCAATTGTGGAAAATAAGAGCAGTTCAAAGCCGTTTGAGTACTATAAGAATTCAGAGTAAAGTTCAGTTTAGTTTGGCATTAGAGGTGGCTTAGAGGCATCATAAAGGCATCATAAATATTACTTCATAAACTTATTTGGTAATCTTTCTTAGCCTCACATTTTCCTGTTAATCTAAATTCATAGTTTGTTCCGTATTGAGATTTTTGTTTAGCCAGGTTGGTGTTTTACCTTTGATACCTTATTTGGGAATATAAAGACAATGATATGAAGGTAGAAATAAAATCCACTCTGATCAAGGCTTTCTAAAACTAGTCTGAACTGCTGTTAATTTCTAGATTAGGGATGAGAGGGGAACTGAGGAGGGAGGTGGGTATGGGAAGAAGATGGAATGGAATAGTTTCTTCTTGAGCCTTTTATTCTTTTTTGCACCTGTCCTGCCCTGATACAGCTAAGTGGTTTGGAGAAAGGCTCAGCATCCTTAATTATTCCTTACTCCAAGTAAGTCCCCAGGTCTGTGGAGCTTTTACATTGTTTTTGTCCTCATGTTCTGCCTGCTCTTGTTGGACAGTACAAATGGAAACTCTTTCTTTTCAGGTGAAACCTGTGGGTACGAAAGTGATGCCGAGTATCTGCCAAAGAGTGAGTGCGTCAGTGGGGCTGCTCCCTTTCACGTGATGATCCTGGTTGTAGGTGGAGTGGCACCTGCCTTTGTGATTAAGCATGTTTTTTCTACACGAAGTTTCACTTTGTCGGTGATTTCTTCATTATAAGAACCTGTTGAGATTTGGGGAACTAAACAGTACACTGTCAGATGTTTGACAGCATTAAAAATCTCCCATGATAGAGTGAGGCAGACCAGTGTAGCTCTTAAGATGGAATGTTCTTCCATCTTAAGAGGGGAGCGGCAGAGCTGCATGTTCAGACATATGTGCAGCAGCCAAAACAGAGTATGTGAGTCATTCTCTGAGGCAAATACTTTGCATTAAATATCTGATTTTTTCATAGTCATTCATTTGAGTATCTTAGATATCTCTGACGTTGGGACAGGAAACACTGATCTGTTTCTTATTCATACGTATTTATATTCTAAATTATTGTGCCATTTACTTTCTGTTAGAATATAGAAGATGCTGTGCTTTTTGGGCTGTATTTGTTCAAGCAGTCATAGTGCTCTGTATCCTTCATCTAATGGATTTTCACAGCAAATTATTTAATTTCTGTTTAACTGAAGCATGGAAGAAATAGGAGACCTGAATTATCAAAGCTGAGTACAGGGCAGTTCCAGGTCTGATACTCTGATCTTATGATTAATAATCATGTGCTCCTGCCAGTAGCCTAAATTGCTTCAGGTGTTTGATTCTGTAGGCTGACTGAAGGCGAAACTTAAGTCATCTTCAGGTTCAGCTTGGATGTGTAAAGATGATTAATTTTGTTCTGTTGCTACTGAGAAACAGGCCCTAAAATTTTCTTGACTTGAACTGAGCCACTGAGGCACTCCAAAATTATTTTTTAAGTGTTCTTAATATTTTGATCTACCTTGTAACTTCTTTGGGGGCAGAATGCATCATATCTCAAAAGAAAAGCGAAACAGTTAGTGGATGAGTCTTTCCATCATTGGCTCAGAATGACACATAAGCAAATCTCTGGGATGCTTAGACTATTTCTTCTGCAAGTACTGCATGTCCCCTAGTGGAGACTACCCCAAATTATTCAGAATTTAGAGATAAATGAGAATAAAGGATAAATGGTATCCACTTTTCAGTGGGATTGCTCATACTGTTTACATAGTATGCTTCTATGAATTCTTTCTTTTGAGAAATAGTCTGCTAATGGATACCTTCTTACATGTCATTTTTCTCTCTTGCATTTAGCACCATTTATTGATATAAATATATGTCCATTATTAGTAATATATGCCAAGGAGAAAAGGGAAAAGAACATTTCTTTAATGTGAGGATAGTTTTTGTTTTAATTTGATCAAACTTGTCTCTTTAGGAACTTACCTTCTATAGGACTCAGTTCTTTTATCAGATATTTTCCCCCACCTAAGATTTCATGGTCCCCAAAATGGCATCTTTTGTCAGGCCGGTGCTTTTACCTGACATTTTCTGTGTGTCCTGGTGTCATGCCATGAAAGATGGGATGGCACAGAGTATGTGTTGGGACATACATAGGTATCAGTTGGGACACAGAACATCGGTCCCACTGCAGGGCCCCCAGGTGCTTGTGAGAATCTGCACTTGTCCTCCAAGTGTGTCATAGCCCTAACAAGTATGTCTGGGTGGCAGACATTGGTTAGTCAACATTCATTAGCAACGACTGAGTGAAGATTAGTCCTGCGTGGGTCGTGACTTCTGGATGCTAGAGGGAAGATAGGGCTGTAAAGGAAAACAAGACTCCGTAATCTCATCGCAGGTCGCTACAAGCGCATAGCGCAACTGCAGCAACCTTCCAAGAGGAATCCTCACTACCAGACCTTAGAGCGGGATCTAATTGAATTACAGGAGCAGCAGCTGTTTGAACTTTTTGTGGTGGTGTCTCTACAGAAGAAGCCATCAGAAATAAGCTACATTCCCCAGGTCATACAACAATTCCCTAGCAAGGTAAGTGCATGGAGGCTATGAGGCATCCGGGAGCGTTTCTGTGTCTCTGTGTATTTATTCCCTCTCTTCTTGTTTACTATTGTCTCAGTTAGCTTTTACTAATACTGTACTTCTTGTAGGATCCGGTGCACTCTAATGATACCTTGTGTCAGGCATGAGCTGCAACCAAGGGGGAATTAAAGCTCATTATTCAAGTTGGGCTTTTATCTTTTGCTCTGCTATTTACTAAGTGACCTTTAGCAAGTTACAGAGCCTCAGTTTTCTCATCCTTAATGAGGGGAGTGATAAATGTGGCAGAGTAGGGTAGCAGTTCAGAGCATGGACTGGGAGCCAACTGTCTGCGTTTGCCACTTATTAGCTCTGTGACTTGGACCAGTTAAACTGCTCTGTGCCTCATTTTCTTCATTGGTCAAAGGGGGATAATCTTCATAGTGTCTACCCCCGTGGAGTTGTGGTGAGGATTAAATGAGCTAATTATAATTAATACAAGGCACTTAGAACAGTGTCTAGCATACAGTAAGCACTATGTAATGTTATTCCCTATTAGTGAGGATTTAATGAGATAATGTATGTAACGTGCTTAATCCAGTTCCTTGCACATAGTAACACTTGATAAATGGTAACTGTTATTAACGGTATTATTTCATTTACTCTACCTTTTTCACAAAATAGTTCATTCATTTATTTAATCAATATTTCATAAATACCTACTATTTGCCAAGATTAGGTGCTGGGAATACAACTGAAATAGATCTTCTTGGTCCCTGCCCTCACAGAGCTTACAAAATAGACCCCAAATGTGGCTCTGAGCTTTGTGGCAGTAAATACAAAGAGCATGATCATTACATCAGGGCTTAACAAACTGATGGCCTCTGAGCATATTTAGCCCACAGATATGTTTTTTGGGTTTACACAGTAATAAAATAATAAAAGTTTTGTTGTCAATTTTTTGTTTAAAAGTCATATTTCACATAAAAATCTGTATTTCTCCTTTCTCCTGAGAAACTAGAAAGACTGCCAACATCCAGCCTACATTCCTAAGTGGCATGAATTGGCTGAAGCTGAGTAAGGAGCAGGACTGACTTCATGGGCATGTGACCAGTGCAGTCACACAAGGCCCCTCACTTACAAGGGCCCTGCACCCTGCTCCGCAGTCACCGTTGAAGTTCTTAATAATTTTTTTTTTTTTTTTTTTTTTTTTTTTTTTTTTACGGTACGCGGGCCTCTCACTGTTGTGGCCTCTCCCGTTGTGGAGCACAGGCTCCGGACGCGCAGGCTCAGCGGCCATGGCTCACGGGCCCAGCCGCTCCGCGGCATGTGGGATCTTCCTGGACCGGGGCACGAACCCACGTCCCCTGCATCGGCAGGCAGACTCTCAACCACTGCGCCACCCGGGAAGCCCCAATAATTTTATATTTGAATCTATGTTTTGTAAGTGAGGAGTGAGATCTGATGAGACAGTGGGGCACGTGCCAAGGTCTTAAAGCCTTGGCTCATGTATGCTGTCACCTCTCCAGGATGGGTTCTCCAGTTGTCCTCACTCCTACCCCTTGGTTCCCCAGGCCCCGTCTGGCTTCCCCCTTTCAATCCTCACTCAGTGACTGCTGCCACCCTCTGCACGGGCATGGAGGGGGTCAGGATCAGGCAAGCATTAACGCCGAAGTGTCTTAAGCAACACATGGTAGATCCTTCCCTACCCTGGGCATTGCTCCTGTGTTCAGTGGGTGGCCTGGGGGGGCAAGCCTTTTCGCCACCCCCAATCCAAGTACTAAGCACGTCCCCATGTGGAGGCTACAACCCCTTGAGGGTCACCTAGCTGCTGCGGGTTGGAGTAGTGGGCCCATGGGAAGGGAAGTCCTTGGCTCAACTTTCCCACCCCTAGTCAGGACACAGAGTTTCAGTCCTGCAGCTGGCCCGAGGGGAAACCCAGCAGCTGGTGGGCCACTTGGGCACCAGATTCCAGGCCAGGGTCCCTGGGCACCTGTGAGAGTCTGCACTTGTCCCCAGGATCCTCGTGCCTGAGGGAGCATGCCATTAAGCAGAAAATCAAAAACCCCATTGCAGGCTGAGAGAGAAACCACAGAAGAAAGTAACAAGTTTTATATTTCATTTTACATTTATTTTTGTCCTGCTTTTTGAACAAGGGGCTCACAGTTTTTCATCTTGCACTGTGCTCTGAAAATTATGTAGCTGGCCTTGGGAAGGAGCGATCCCTTTAAACAGGGACATTTACTCATACTCCAGCTTACTACTTGGACCACTTCTCTCATTATCTGCTCAGGAACTTTAGGACTTTGGGTTTAAACCCTGAGTTGCATGTTACACTAGGAAAGCTAGTGAGGGGCTTCCCTGGTGGTGCAGCGGTTAAGAATCCGCCTACCAATGCAGGGGACACAGGTTCGAGCCCTGGTCCTGGAAGATCCCACATGCCGCGGAGCAACTAAGCCCGTGTGCCACAACTACTGAGCCTGTGCTCTAGAGCCCTCGAGCCACAACTACTGAAACCCGCACACCTAGAGCCCACACGCCACAACAAGAGAAGCCACCGCAATGAGAAGCCTGCACACCGCAGCAAAGAGTACCCCCGCTCGCCGCAACTAGGGAAAGCCCATGAGCAGCAACGAAGACCCAACGCAGCCAAAAAATAAATAAAAATAAGAAAAGCTAATGAAGCACAGCTGAACTGAAATCTGAGACATTTCCTGCATGGGTTCTCATTTTTTAAGAAAGTCCTCACCAACATTCCTGCTGTAAATCAATGTTTAATTTCTTATAAAATTCCTCATTGTGGCCTGAGAGCACAGTGTCACTGCACTCTTTAGTAACACAGTACCGTAAGAGTCTAAAATAGATAGTCGAGGAATCAAATTTCCCATAAAGAGAAGCTTAATTTTTTTCTCTGTTGTTCATCCGTCTTACATTTGCAAAGAGAAATCTCGAGGTTGAACCTGTTTTCAGCACAGCCTGAATTATGGGTTTGGAACCAGATGAGGACCCAGTTGACTCTGACAGTAATTCAAGGATGTCTCTAAGCAAGTTACTTGGCGTTATTATGCATTAGGCATCTATAAGTCTGGGAGGGAAAGAGCTGCCTGAGCCCCTCTTGATTCTGATGTGGAAAACCTTGAATGAAGATGATTGTGAATCATTTAACAGTGTAAAAATAATAGAATATGACACAACTAAAATTTTGTTAGAATGCTTTTCCATTTCTTAAGGGCTTAATCTCTAAGTGACCCAGAATGGCTGCATGTTTTGTTTTAGAAATTAAAGGATAGATCATTGGTATTAGTTACATGAAGGCAATATGGTAATTAGACTTATCTGCTTGTTTTTATACTAATTTTAAAATGTCTTTTGGTTTAACTAAATTTAGACTGTCCTTTAAAGTACAATACCAGACTTGCACAAAAGGTCTTCCATGCTAAAATCTTACAGGAAGTTGCAAACCCATAATTAGGTAGCAAAGATTATATGCTAAGGGAAATGATTATATATGGGATGGATTCTAAAAATAGTATCTTTTCTAAGTAACATTCACCTGCCTTTTCAAAACATCTTGGATTATTGATCAGAGAGTGTCTTGAGCTAACTAGGTTTTTGCTATCAGTATATTGTAGAATAGATTTTCATTTATTTTATGTCCCATGATTCATAAAAATATTCTCACTAGTATGTTAATTCTGAATTAAGATTCTTCCTCTAGCTAAGAAACTGTTTTCAATCATTTCTCTTACATCAGATTATAGGATGTCCATAAGTACCCTCTCTATGTAAGACAGAATTCTTTTTTCTTAGAAACTCAGTTCTCAGTATGTTTTCAGTGATTACCAGTCTTGGCCTTCCTGTTTTATTAAGTAGCACAAAACCACCCTGAGACACCTACCTAGACTTATCAGAGACCTCTTTTCCTAAGACCAGGCTGAGTTTATTTCTATACTCCGCTTACATAGAATATTAGTCACTTACAGTGTTATTTTTTTTCAGGGTGATCATGGCTGTAAGCAATCCAGAGACACTGAAGACAGGCTCAAAGTTATCCCAAAATTTTGTTTTCCTGATTCAAAGGACTGGGTGCCAACCTCAGAACTCAAGAGGTAAATAGACTACTTTATCTGATTTCTATTTGTTGGACGAGCAAAAGTAGAACCAGAATCTTTGAGAAACAGATAGAGTCAGCAGTGAAGCTATGTGGACTCTGTGGCAGATCAAGGATGCAGTGGGAGGAAAGGAAGAAACAATTAGGACATTTCCTATGTGGGGCTCAAAAAAGAAAAACACAGTGTCAAAGGGAAAACAAGTTTGAGAGTCTCTTCAATTTGCCAATTCTGCAGGAAAAAAAGTTCCACTTTACATATAATCAGAAATGCCACCAAGTGGACAGAAAAGGAAAAATGACTTGAACTTAGGGACTGAGAAACAGAGATAAAACATGGCAATATCTGCATCTTGTTATCTCCTTCAAGTTGTTAGAAGAAGCCATAGCCCAGATTGTATGTTCCCTGTCGAACTTGTACGAAGAGGGGGCTGTAGTTTGGAAGGTGTAAGTATATTGAGAAGGGAATTATAAGAAATTGCTTCCCAGTATCTAGAGGAAATTACTATTTTCAATTAATAAACCATCATCGTTTCATATCCTGCTTATAAATAGATAAGTGCTTTGTTCAAAACTGTAATTATTGATCATGTATTTAGGCTGAAAAGCGTGATTATGTGAACCATATCACATGCCAATGACCTGCTGGAAGACAGCCTCAGCTATTGCCTAAGTAGCTCTGCCCTTCCACCCCACGTTGCCTCCAGACTATGCTCCTGTCTCTCCTAACCAGTTTAGCCTGATCGCTGCTCTCATCTCTGAGCCATCAACCCTGAAGCTTTTGTGCTGTCAGTTGTACTAATTGCATAGGCAGCTTCTTTCTTATTGGCCTGGCTGCTCCATGGATGGCTTTCCCCAAGAGTTATGTGTGTTTATTCTAGAATGTCTGAAAAATACAGAGGAGTAAATAAAAAGCAGAAATTAAAAATCACTGGCATTCTGGTTACTCAGAGATAATCACTGTAAATGTTTTGAGATGTTCCCTTCCAATCTTTATTCGTGGCCAAATACAGACATATGTATATGTTTTTCAGATTTGAATTTCTTTTGATTGTTAATGAATTTATTTCTTGGGCATCTCTAGGTCTTCATTTTGTAAATTATCTATGCATATTTTTTGCCAGTGTTTCTAATGAGATGGTAATTTTCCTAATAATTTTTATGTATTAAGGATATAAACTTTTCCCTATCACAGTTCCATATGACCTCTCAGAACTAAATAGAAGAATTTGGAAGGGAAGAATAGCTTATCAAAATTCTTTATAGTTTACCTATATATTTGACTAAACTGGACATTCAGCAAAAGGAAAATAGGCTTGATTAATATCTGGACTAGATAAATAAGAAAGTAAAAGGAGCCAGTGGCATCAACAGCTCATCACATTCTATTCTCTCACTCCAGTACAAAGCAAGATATTCTCAAGGGCTGGACATTCTCCCCCAGGAGGAATGTGACTTGCAATAAATATAATATTGCTGCCTCCTCTTACATCACAAAATGACTGCTGTTGGACTCTAATTTTTAATTGCTTGTTCCGAGGAATGTCATAAGCAGTTGTTTGGATCTCAAACTATTGACTGTTTTTTTCAGTGAAACGTTCTCCTTTGTCTTAACTGGTGAAGATGGGAGCCGGTGGTTTGGTTACTGTAAGAAGCTCTTGGTAAGTCCCAGACTTGTGCTACAGGCAGCTTTGGTAGAGGAACAAAAGAGTCAGACTAGGAACTTCAGAAACACGATCTCTAGATGAGTTTGGGGGCTACCCAGTGATCTGTGTATTATAAAGAAGCTAGTTAAGCTTTATATTTTTGTTTTATTTATTTTCTTTATTTTTTTGGCTGCGGTGGGTCTTAGTTGCAGCATGCAGGATCTTAGTTGCGACACACAGGATCTTAGTTGTGGCATGCGGGCTTTTCTCTAGTTGTGGCACACGGGTTTCTCTCTAGTTGTAGCGTGCGGGTTTTCTCTCTCTAGTTGTGGCTCACGGGCTCCGGAGCGTGTGGACTCTGTAGTTTGCAGCACACAGGCTCTCTAGTTGAGACGCATGAGCTCAGTAGTTGTGGCTCACGGGCTTAGTTGCCCTGCGGCATGTGGGATCTTAGTTCCCTGAGCAGGGATTGAACCCGAGTCCCCTGCACTGGAAGGAGGATTCTTTACCACTGGACCACCAGGGAAGTCCCAAAGCTATGTTAGCTTTAAACAGTAAGAGCAAGGTGGAGGTTAGCCACAGAGTGTTCCATAATAGAAACGGTATGGATTTATTTTATTTATTTGTATGTTTGTAATAGATGAAGAAAGCACTGACATTGTAGCTGAAGTCAGTCTGGTTATATTTGAGGAATGGAGTACAGTGAGCCAATTGAGGGAGCTCTGAGTTACTTCTTGCTTATATGCCATCACTAAACTGGAATAAATCATACTATCATTTTTTTTTTAGCATTTTCTCATCTTTCAGTGTTCATTGAGAATGAGAGCTTTGGTTCCTACTCTATACTAAGGAGTATTAAGAGGTATTAATAGTCCAAATTAGTAAAGACTCGTGCTGCTTAATTTTTGCTTTGTTGTTGTTTTTTTTTTTTAGCCAGAAGGCAAAGGAAAGCGACTCCCTGAGGTATACTGCATGGTCAGTCGCCTAGGCTGCTTCAACCTTTTTTCAAAGGTGAGTGGAGAATGGGCCCTATGAAAATTGGTGTCCTTTCTGAGCTCTGAGTGAGTTTTTGTTTCTGATGACTTCACTAGGCAATGTTAAGTGGCATAGACTTTAACATACTACTTTAGAAAGGGTTCCCCATTAGTAGATTAGAACTACGGCTTTGAAGCCTTAAATTTAGACCTCTAATCCAGATGATGTTGCCCCGTCATCCTCATTTTGGTTTGCTAGACCTCCCAGCTTAAAGCAAAACATTGCCTGAAGTTTATCTTGTCTCATCTCTTTCCCAGACACCAAACTGCAGGGTATTATTGTGTCACCTTCTTTGCCCCTGCCTTAGTGATATAAAAAGGGGCTTCTCTTCTAAAATTAAGTTGATTTACTTTAGTAACTTTTCTTGGAGATTTAAAGGTACCTCTAAGAGAAATGATGCCTTTAATGAACTTTTATTGGTTGCAGAAGCTTATCTGTCTTAAAATCTGTTGGTATTATTTTCAAGTTTGTGCACCCAGTTTGACAGTTCCTTCAATAGGATTCTTATATGTTTTTGAACTGAGTCCCTAATTAAAAAAAAATTCTTTCGTGTGTATGTAGATTCTGGATGAAGTAGAGAAGAGAAGAGAAATGTCTCCAGCTTTGGTTTACCCATTTATGCGAAGTGTCATGGAAGCTCCTTTCCCAGCTCCTGGACGCACCATCACAGTAAAGAGCTACCTCCCTGGGGCTGGAGATGGGGTAAGTTAGTTCATTTTGGAAAGGTTTGATAGCTTCCAAAAAGCAGGCCTTACACTAGTAGGCCTTACCTGATAGAAACCTTACAGGATAGTTTTCTCTTTTTCATGAACTGCACAGAATATGTTTTGGTCACAAAAGCACTGGAGAAACATCCAGTTGATCTGTGAGATAGTTGATCCTAGACCCAGGAACCAGAGGTTTTCTATCATTTGTAGACTGAGCCCCTGCATAATGCCTATTTCAGTGTGATAAATGAAGATTATACATACTATTGTCCAGTGGGATGAAAGATTTCACCAGAAATTTACAGCCCAAAAATAAGGTATTAAGTCTTGGCATTAGCGTAGGCAGCTTCACAAACTCCTTGTAGCAGACCCTCTGTCTTGAATTTAACCTGTAAAAGAATGACAGGATCCATTATTATTGTCATTAGGGATTGTTTTCCCACCTAAGCTCCCCTGATTCAAATTTTGCATTTCAGTCAATTGAACTGTGCCGACCACTGGACTCACGATTGGAACATGTTGATTTTGAATGTCTCTTTAAGTGCCTGAGTGTGTGCCATCTCATTCGGGTCTGTGCCTCTCTCCTTTTGGAGCGGAGGATAATCTTTGTTGCCAACAGCCTAAGGTGAGAAATAAGTAAAATATGTCACTTCAGCCTGTTGTTTTACTTGTTCTTACTATTTTAAAATTTGGGCATATTAGAAAACACTTAGGTAGGATCTCAGTTACCTAATGCTATAGTGACATGGATAATCCAAAAGCTATTTGCATTCGGCTGTAACAGTGACTTTTGGGGGTTGCAATTAATTTACCTTCAAAATGTGTTTTGTTTAAACTGTTGTTAAAAATTGGGATTGCTTTTCTAAGTACAAACTAGCTTTTAGCAATATAAATTGTGGGAAACAGCTAGATTGAGATTAAAGATATTCAGTAAATTAAGTTAAAATTTAAATAAAATGTTAAAATTTAATGAGTAATCACAGAATTGTTAATCTATGATCACTAACTGGCATCACTTTTGTAATTCTGTAACGTAATGTTTGAAATGCCCTCCATTGTTGTTCTTTATATGACACCGTTTGCTTTCTCCTCTGGCTAGCACCCTGTCAAAATGTGGCCATGCTGTGGTTGCCACACTGTATCCATTCACCTGGCAGCATACCTACATCCCAGTCCTGCCAGCCTCTATGATCGACATTGTGTGCTCACCTACTCCTTTCCTTATTGGAATCCTGTCTTGCTCCTTACCGCGGCTCCAGGACCTACCCATTGAAGAGGTGAGATGGGAGAAATAGTACCTGTGGAAAAGACTGGGGCACTGGCAAATGAAAACAAGTGATCTTTAACAGTGGTGGATATGTCATTAATTAATAATAATATGTAATTATGATTGTTAATACATTATGCTATCATATTTTTGTATCTGTTTATGAAAGTGAGAAAAATTCTATAGTACACATGAATCTGAAGTTGTATCTTATTTGCAGTATTGAGCCGTGGGCTAATTCTTGTGTTATTCTGAATAGGTCTTTTTTTTTTTTAAAACATCTTTATTGGAGTATAATTGCTTTACAATGGTGTGTTAGTTTCTGCTTTATAACAAACTGAATCAGCTATACATATAAATATATCCCCATATCTCCTCCCTCTTGCATCTGCCTCCTGCCCTCTCTATCCCACCGCTCTAGGTGGTCACAAAGCACCTAGCTGATCTCCCTGTGCTATGCAGCTGCTTCCCTCTATTTTACATTTGGTAGTGTATGTATGTCCATCATGCCACTCTCTCACTTCGTCCCAGCTTCCCCTTCCCCCGCGCCATGTCCTCAAGTCCATTCTCTACATCTTCGTCTTTATTCCTCTCCTGCCCCTAGGTTCTTCATAACCTTTTTTTTTTTTAGATTCCATATATATGTGTTAGCATACAGTATTTGTTTTTCTCTTTATGATTTACTTCACTCTGTATGACAGAGTCTAGGTCCATCCACCTCACTAAAAATAACTCAATTTCGTTTCTTTTTATGGCTGAGTAATATTCCATTGTATATATGTGCCACATCTTCTTTATCCATTCATCTGTTGATGGACACTTAGGTTGCTTCCATGTCCTGGCTATTGTAAATAGAGCTGCAGTGAACATTGTGGTACATGACTCTTTTTGAATTATGGTTTTCTCAGGGTATATGCCCAGTAGTGGGATTGCTGGGTCATATGGTAGTTCTATTTTTACTTTTTCAAGGAACCTCCATACTGTTCTCCATAGTGGCTGTATCAATTTACATTCCCACCAGCAGTGCAAGAAGGTTCCCTTTTCTCCACACCCTCTCCAGCATTTACTGTTTGTAGATTTTTTGATGGTGGCCATTCTGACCGGTGTGAGGTGATACCTCATTGTAGTTTTGATTTGCATTTCTCTAATGATTAGTGATGTTGAGCACTCTTTCACGTGTTTGTTGGCAGTCTGTATATCTTCTTTGGAGAAATGTCTATTTAGGTCTTCTGCCCATTTTTGGATTGGGTTGTTTGTTTTTTTGATATTGAGCTGCATGTGTTGCCTGTATATATTGGAGATTAATCCTTTGTCAGTTGCTTCATTTGCAAATATTTTCTCCCATTCTGAGGGTTGTCTTTTGGTCTTGTTTATGGTTTCCTTTGCTGTGCAAAGGCTTTTAAGTTTCATTAGGTCCCATTCGTTTATTTTTGTTTTTATTTCCATTTCTCTAGGAGGTGGGTCAAAAAGGATCTTGCTGTGATTTATGTCATAGAGTGTTCTGCCTATGTTTTCCTCTAAGCGTTTGATAGTGTCTGGCCTTACATTTAGGTCTTTAATCCATTTTGAGTTTATTTTTGTGTATGGTGTTAGGGAGTGTTCTTATTTCATTCTTTTACATGTAGCTCTCCAGTTTTCCCAGCACCACTTATTGAAGAGGCTGTCTTTTTCTCCATTGTATAGAAGAATAGGTCTTTTTTAAAAAATCATACACAGAAACTACTCTGGGTTAATTTAATAAATTGTTTCAGATATAAAACACGTATAGATAAATGCCCAAACAAAATGTATGGCTCAGTTAATTATCACATAGTGAATGCTTATGTAACCAACATTGGAATAGAATAGAAATATTATGGCAATGGAAACAGAAGTCCCCATCTTGCCTTTTTAATTTAATTTTTTTAATTATTATTATTTTTTGGCCATGCCGCGTGTCATGTGGGATTTTTTGGCCATGCCGCGTGTCATGTGGGATCAAACCTGCACCTCCAGCATTTGAAGCGCGGAGTCTTAACCACTGGACTGCCAGGGAAGTCCCCCATCATGCTTTCTTCTAATCACTGTTCCCTTCCCCACCCCTTGCAAAAGGTAACCATTATCTTGACTTTCATGGTGCTCATTTTCTTGTTTTGTTTATAGTTTAACATCCTAGGCATGTATACCTAAACAATGTAATTCAGTTTTGCCTGGTTTTAAGCTTGAAATAAGTGAACTCATACAGTATTTTCTTTCTTTCTTTCTTTCTTTTCTTTTTTCAGTCTGGCTTCTTTGGAGCAACATTATGTCTTTTTTTGTTTTTTGGCTGCGTTGGGTCTTCGTTGCTGCGTGTGGGCTTTCCCTAGTTGCGGCAAGCCGGGCTACTTTTTGTTGTGGTGTGCAGGCTTCTCATTGCAGTGGCTTCTCTTGTTGTGGAGCACGGGCTCTAGGCAAGTGGGCTTCAGTAGTTGTGGCACGTGGGCTCAGTAGTTGTGGCTCGTGGACTTTAGAGTGCAGGCTCAGTAGTTGCAGGACGTGGGCTTAGTTGCTCCGTGGCATGTAGGATCTTCCCTGACCAGGACTCAAACCCATGTCCCCTGCATTGACAGATGGATTCTTAACCACTGCATCACCGGGGAAGTCCCCAACATTATGTCTTTAAGATTCATCCATGTTGATGGGTTTAACAACAGTAGTTTGATTATTCTAATTGTGTATAGTATTCCATTGTGTGAATGTGCCACAATTTTGTTATCCATTCTACAGTTGATTGACATCTGAGTTGTTTCCAGTTTGGAGTTATTAATAATGCTGCTATGAATATTCTTGTTCATGACCCTTGGTACATATGTGCATGCAGTTTTATGGACATATACTTGGAAATGGAATTGCTGGGTCATAGAGTAAACCTTCAACTTTAGTAGGTAAAGTCAAGCTTTTCCAAAGTAGCTGTGCCAAGTTAAACTTCCTCCAGCACTGTATGAGAGTTCCTGTTGCTCCACGTCCTTGACAGCCCTTGTTGTCATCAGTTTGTGTAATTTAGCCTATCTGATGGGTATGTAGTTGTACTCATTGTGGTTTAATTGGCATTCCTTGATTATGGTTGAGGGTGAGCATCTTTCCATATGTTTATTGGCCATTTGAATGTCATTTTTTGTCATCTTTTGTAAAATTCATAGGCTATATCCTTATACTGAATTGTTTACCCTCACTGATTTGTAAGAAGTGTTTTTATAGCTTCTTTTATAGCTCTGGATACGAGCCCCTTTGTAGCTTACCTTTTCATTCACCAAAATGGTGTTTTTTAAATACAGTGGTGTTCTTAATTTTAATGTGGTCAGAATTATCAATTTTTTTATGGTTTGTTTTTGTGTGTGTGTGTGTGTGTGTGTGTGAACTGCTTAAGTTTTTCTTTATATTAACTTGATGGACATAGCCTCCTATATTATCTCTTGGAAGCTTTATTATTATGCCTTTAATTTTTGTTTCTGAAGTCGGGGGCTTGATTTTTTTAATATATAATAGGAGGTAGGGGGAATTCCCTGGCAGTTCAGTGGTTAGGACTCCCTGCTTTCACTGCTGTGGGCGTGGGTTCAATCCCTGGTCAGGGAACTAAGATCCTGCAAGCCACACAGTGTGGCCAAAAAGAAAAAATGGAGGTAGGGGTCGTTTCATTTTTTTCATATGGATGGCCAACTATCCCAGTACCACTTATTGAAATAGCTCTTCTTCCCTATTACACTGATGGGTTAACCTTTTTTTCTCCCCCAGTTTTATTGAGATATGATTGACGTATAACATTGTATTAGTTTGAGATGTACAGCATAATTGATATATGCATATATTTCAAAATAATTACACAGTAAGTTTAGTTAATATCCATCACCTCACATAGTTAGAAATTTTTTTTCCTTGTTATGAGAACTTTTAAGATAGACTCTTAGCAACTTTCAAATATACAGTGTAGTATTATTAACTGTAGTCACCATGCTGTACATTACATATCCAGAACTTATTTATCTTATAACTGGAAATTTTTGCCTTTTGACCCCCTTCACCAATTTCATCCATCCCCCACCCCCATGTCTGGCAACCACCAATCTGTTCTCTGTATCTGTGAATTCATTTGTTTTAGATTCCACATGTAAGTGGTATCTGTCTTTCTCTGCCTGACTTATTTCACTTAGCATCCATGTTGTCACCAATGGCAGGATTTTCTTCTTTATATGGCTGAATAATATTCCATTGTGTGTTTGTGTGTGTTTGTGTGTGTGTGTGTGTGTGTGTGTATGCATACACACATACCACATCTTTATCTAGTCATCTGTTGATGGACATTTAGGTTGTTTCCATTGTCATGTCTGTTGTAAGTAATGCTGCAGTAAACATGGGGGTGCAGCTGTTTCTTCAAAATAGTGATCTTATTTCCTTTGGTTTCATGCCCAGAAGTGGGATTGCTGAATCATGTGCTGATTCTATTTTTAATTTTTTGACGAACCTCCTTACTGTTTCCATAGTGGCTGAACCAATTTACATTCCCATAAAGAGTGCACAGTAGTTCCCTTTTCTCCACATTCTTGCCAGTATTCGTTATCTTTTGTCTTTTGTTGCTAGCCATTCTAACAGGTGATGATATCTCATTGTGGTTTTGATTTGCATTTCCCTGATGTGGAATACCTTTTCATGTGCTTGTTAGTCATTTGTATGTCTTCTTTGGAATAATGTCTATTCAGTTCCTCTGCCTATTTTTTTAATTGGATTGTTTGGGGTTTTTTTGCTATTGAGTTGTATGAGTTCTTTATATATTTTGGGTAGTAACCCCTTATCCAATATATGATTTGCAAATGTTTTCTCCCATTCTTTACATTTCCTTTTTATTTTATTGATGGTTTCCTTTGCTGTGCAGAAGCTTTTTAGTTTGATGTAATCCCACTTGCTTATTTTTGCTTTTGTTGCCTTTGCTTTTGGTGTCAAATCCAAAAAATCATTGCCAAGACCAATGTAAAGGTGCTACCCCCTGTGTTTTCTTCTAGGAGTTTTATGATTTCAGGTCTTATGTTTAAGTCATTAATCCATTTTGAGTTGATTTTTGTGTATGGTGTAAGATTGGGATCCAATTTTATTTTTTGGCATGCAGCTATCTAATTTTCCCAACACCATTTATTGAAGAGATTGTCCTTTCCCCATTTTATATTCTTGGCTCCTTTGTCATCAGTTAATTGACTGGGACTTCCCTGGTGGTCCAGTGGTGAAGACTGTGTGCTCCCAATGCAGAGGGCCCGGGTTCGACCCCTGTCAGGGAACTAGATCCCTCATGCCACAACTAAAGATCCCATGTGATGCAACTAAGACCCAGTGCAGCCAAATTAATAAATTAATTAATTTTTTAAAAATTATTAAAAAAAGTTAATTGACTATGTGTGGGGGTTATTTATGGACCCTCTATTCTGTTCCATTGAGCCATGTGTCTGTTTTATGCCAGTACCATACTGTTTTGATTACTATAGCTTTGTAATATAGTTTGAAATCAGGAAGTATGATGGTCTCTACTTTTATTCTTCTTTCTCAAGATCATTTTGGCTATTTGGAGTCTTTTGTAGTTCCATGGAAATTTTACAATTGTTTGTTCTCTTTCTGTGAAAATTGCCATTGGAATTTTGGTAGGGATTGCACTGACTCTGTAGATTGCTTTGGGTAATTTAGACATTTTAACAATATTAATTCTTCCAGTCCATGAGCATGGAATATCTTTCCATTTATTTGTGTATTGTTCAGTTTCTCTCATCAGTGTCTTATAGTTTTCAGCACAAATATCTTTTACCTCCTTGTTTAAATTTATTCCTAGGTATTTTATTCTTTGTGGTGCAATTGAAAATGGGGTTGTTTTCCTAATTTATTTTTCAGACACTTCATTGTTAGTGTATAGAAACACTTCTGATTTTTGTATTAACCTATTTTTTTAACTTGTTATAATGGAAAATTTTAAACATATGTAAAAGTAAACAAGAGAGTAAAATAAATCCAATCACCCTTCTTAAATACTTACAAAGTTTTGGCCAATCATACTTCTACCTCTCTCCCATAATATTTTGAAGTATATCCTGACATAATTTCATAATTCTAAATATTGCAATATGAATTTCTATAAGGTCATTTTTTAGCATAATCACAATACCATTATCACACCTAAAAAATTTAATAACAGTTCCTCAATATCAGAAAAATTCAGTATTCAGCTCTCTAATTACTTCATAAATTTTTAATAGTTTGAATTAAGTTCCAAATAAAGTGCATGCAGTGCATTTGGTTGGTGTGGTTTTTTTGGTCTCTTTTAATCTCTAGGTGCGCTGCCATCATTTTTTTTTAACTTGAAATTCTTTTTACTTGTGTTGATGAGTTAACTTTTAAATGGGCTGACACTTTAAGTTAGTGTATAATAATATTGAATCACTTTATACACCTGAAACTAATATAATATTTAAGTCAATTATACTTCAATTTTTAAAAAAGGAAAGGAAACAAAACAAATAAACCTTTAAGTTTATTTTAAACTATTCCCCTTTGCATGAAAGAATCAAAACACTCTTCCTGATCTAGCAGTGTCTAATGTATTTCTCTGTGACTGTCTCTGGTTTAACTTGTCTGGCTCCTTTATTCCGTAGGTGCTGATAGTTGATCTCTGTGCAGACAAGTTCTTACAGGAGGTGAGTGACAAAGGAGGTGATTATGTAATGTTTGGGTATAATTGGCCAGAAAATATGTGAAAGTACTTAGAGAAGGTGACTCAGGCAAGACTTACAGTTCCTACACATACTTGACTTGACACTGCGGCCAATCATACAAGATTGACCTGAAAAATTTGATTTGGGTTCATAGCTCACTGTCCCAATTTAGGGAAGGAGGAAACAGATTAAATGCCATTCTCAAAAGAGGTAACCCTCCCTTCAAGTCTTATGGGCTGATGTATAGGTCTCTAATTTAATTAAATTTAACAAGCATTCAGCACCAGTTATTTCTAGATATTCTGTTAGCCAGTCAGAAACTAAAGATGAGTAAGATACTCAGTTTGATCTCTCAGGCCTTATAGTTTAAAGGGGAGGGGAGAGGGAGCAGACATAGCCATAAAGTTTTAGAAATGGTGTAATAGAAACTTATACAAGATACAGTAGGGGCAGAAAGGAAGTGTCACTTATTCTGGATAGTGAAGTGGAGAGGAGAGTTAGTAAAGCCTTAGAGCAGCCCTCTGTATGTAACCTGTATATAGTTTTGTGAGCACTGAGGGCAGGGTGAAAAGAATGTTTCCCAAGACTGTCTTTTTTCAGAATCAGTCAGCTCGTCACATGTGAAGCACCATTTATTTGGGGATGATCTTTGTAATATAGCATAAGACTTGGAGATGAGAAGCATTTTGTGGGAAAGTACCAGAAAATTTTATAAGGCATATTATTTATTTTTCTTAAATGTAATGAAGATGTATGCACCATAAGTTTTGTGGATTCTGCTCAATGTAGGGAAGGAAGCTTGAGACTGACTCTTCAGCCAAAATATATACAAAGCCACCTGTGGACTTTGAGGTACTTAAATAAGGCATGTTTGAGACTTTCTCAAAGCTCATGAAAATCTCAATTTCTTCTCTTAAGGTATCTGATGAGGATGAAATTCTACCACCTAAACTCCAGGCTGCCCTGATACAAATTTTGGAAGAACGAAACGAAATTTTGGCTCAGGAGCAGAATTTTTTACAAGGTATGAGACAAGTGGTCTGAGGATTTAAGGTCAAGGCAGTAAATACCAAATGCCCAGCACCCTGCCAAAGCATATGCAATAGCAGTATGAGATTGCCTGTGCCTTCATAAGCTTATAGTCAGCTTTCTTGCTCACCCTCAGCTGTGCCAAGTCCCCTTCTATTTCAGGACTTTTGCACTTGCTCAGTTCCATGTATGGAATGCTATTCCCCTAGATATCCACATGGCTCCTGCTCTTTGTGCTTGCAGGACCATGCGCAAATGTCACTTTCTTAGTGAGGCCTTTTCTGACTGTCCTGTTTAAAATTGTTCCTGTTCCCTTAGCATGTCCTATCCTCCTCCCTGACCTTATTTTTCTCCATGGCTTTCATCACCATCTGATGTGCTAAAATGTAAGTTCCATGAGAGCAGTGACCGTCTATTTGTTTTCTATTTCCAGTACTTTAAACAGCATTCAGTAAATAGGTATTCAATAAGTATTTGTTGAATAAAAGGATGAATAATATTTTATGGGTGGCTTACTCTGTGCCAGGCATTGTTTTAAGCACTTAGCATACATCTTATTTCATCCTTGTAATATCTTTATGAAGCAGGTGTTATGATTTAATCCCCATTCTACAGAGGAGAACACTAAGGCTGTTTACCAATGGGGAACATTAGAGAAGGGGCAGGTTTAGAGGACTAACTAAAAGTTCAGTTTTTAATATTAAGTTTGAGATACCTATTGGACATCCAATACCTGGCAGACTTTCAGCTGGAGATATCAAGTAGGCATTTATATACGTGAATTTGAGATTCAGAGGAAAGATTTGGGCTAGAGACATACATTTAAAAGTTGCTATTTTAAAGCTGTGGGAACAGATGAAATAGCCCAATAGAGTAAGTATAGAGAGAAAATTAAAAAGATTTAAGGATTGAGCCCTGGTTGGGAATGATGTGCTTAGATTTCCAACTTTTGGTAGTTGGGAAGAGGAGAAGGATCCAGCAAAGGAGACTAAAAGGAGCAGCTAGTGAAGTAGGTGAAAAACCAGGAGTATGTGATATTGTAGAAACTGAGTGAAGAAAGTATTCCATGAAGGAAAGAGTAAGCAGTTATGTTTTTTTGTTTTTATTTTTGTTTTAATTTTTATTGGAGTATAGCTGCTTTACAATATTATGTTAGTTTGTACAGTACAGCAAAGTGGATCAGGTATATGTATACATATAGCCCCTCTTTTTTGGATTTCCTTCTCATTTATGTTACCACAGAGCACTGAGTAGTTTGCTGTGCTATACAGTAGGTTCTCATCAGTTATCTGTTTTATAAATGGTATCAATAGTGTATATATGTCAACCCCAATCTCCCTAACCCTAAAAGAAATAAAAAACAAGCCTTAAACTAGATGAAGGCATTTTCAACAAATATAACTAACAAAGGAATAGTATCTAGAATTTAGTTTTTAAAATTCCTACAGTTTAAAAGTAAAAAGATGAACAACCCAAGAGGAAAATGGGGGAAAGATATGAACAGTCATTTCATAGAGGAGGAAACATGAAAGGCCAATAAATATATGAAAAGATACACAACCCCATCAAAATCAGGGAAATGTAAATTAAAACCACAGTGAGATACCATTTTATACCCACCATATTGGCAAAAATTTAAAAGTCTGACAGTATCAGGTGTTGATGAGAATGTGTAAGTTACTTCAACCCCTTTAGAAAAACAATTTGGCATCATCTAGTAACATTAAAGGTGTACATATCCTGCAACCCAACAATTCCATTTTAGATATATACACAGAGAAACTCTTGTACATTATAACTAGGAAACAAGTACAATAATTTTTATAGTGTTATTGTATGTGATAGCAAAAACTGAAACAACCTAAATGTCCACTGACAGGAGAATATAGCATTTAAAAAAAAGAAGCTTAAAAACACACATTTTGAAGATCTGGCGTGCTGCAACTAAGACCCAACACAGCCAAATAAATAAATATTTTTTTAAAAACACGTTGAATTAAAACAGTAAGTTGCAGAAGAATATAATGTTTTATATAATGTTCAAAGACATACAAGACCTAACAATATGTTGTTGGTGTTGGATGTGTATGGTAAGACTGTAATGTAAAGCAAATGATACACACAAAATTACAAAAAATGGTCACCCTCTATTGCAAAGTAGGGGAAGAACACCACTGAGAGAGCATCACACAGGGAACTTCAGAGATACACGTGATGTTCTATTCTAAGCTTTGTGGTGGGCACTTGTGTGGTCGTCTCACTCCTGATCTTATGAAATATTCATACATGTTACGAATCTATAAAGTTATTCATTAAAACAGAAACAAAGAATGGAAAATAAGTTATAGAAAAACATAATTTTTTAAAGAAAGGGAATTAGGTGTAAGAAAGTAGGTACAACAGGTATAAACAACTCTTCCAAGAAATTTTTTGCTGCAAACTGGAGGATAGATGGGACAGTAACTGGAGGTGATGGGAGAGTGGGGCAAAAGTGTTAATGATAAAGCAGTGATGGATTCTCAGCTGCAGAAAGAAAGAGATGAGAAGGAAGTCTGTTGAACAAAATATAACAAATATAACAAAAATCTAGATTAGAATAAAAGTGTAGGGACTTCCCTGGTGGTCCAGTGGTTAAGATTCTGCTTTCCAATGAAGAGGACATGGGTTCGATCCCTGATTGGGGAACTAAAATCCCACATACTATGGGGCAACTAAGCCCACGTGCCAGAACTAGAGAAAAGCCCACGCGCTACAGCTAAGACCTGATGCAGCCAAATAATAAAAATGAAATTTTTAAAAAAAGAATAAAAATGTAATGTCGGAAGAGAGCTCAGAAATGGCCTAATCAGCCACCTCATTATACAGATATGGAAAGAGAGGCGATGAGAGGTAAAGCAAGTTGCCCACTATTCTACAGCTGCTTCATGGTAGAAGTCTGATTAAACCTGGGTCCCAGATCCCCAGTCAGCCCACGGGAAAGAGCAAGAGACATTGTGAGGAAAAGAATACTATTTTGTTATGGGAGGAAAAGGAGGAGTCTAAGTTGAACCTGAGGTTTGAGCCTGGAACCTGGAAGGCAACACATTGTGCTATATTATAGTGGTTAAGAGTCACTTGACTTGGGAGTCCTGCAGCTTCTCCATGGTACTGGATGAGGGGACCCTGGAGAATGTCTTTGATTTGAGCCTCAGTTTCCTCAGCTGTAAAAGGGAAATAATAGACTTACCTCACTGGATTATTTTAAAATTTGTAAAAGCACTCAATACATTATTATTTATTATGGAATAATCATGATGCAATATGAAATGAGAAAGTTGAGAGAGAAACTGATTTGGTGGAGAAATATAATGAATTTGGTTTTTGGCATGTATTGTTTATTTGATTTGTAGTCTACCAATTTCCCAAAAGAACCTGAGATGGTGACTTTTTTTGTTTTTTTGGCTGTGCCGGGCAGCTTGCAACATCTTAGTTCCCTGACCAGGGATCAAACCCATGCCCTCAGCAGTGAGAGCACAGAGTACTAACCACTGGGCCTCCAGGGAATTCCCTAGATGGTGACTTTTAGACAAATGGAATGTAAGTGCTAATGGGACAGCCAAATGATGATCACCTATAGGTAGCCTGAAAATGTAGAAAGTGAATTTTGGTGAAATATCAGGACTGGAGATCTGAGGTTGAGAATTATTGGCAAAGAAAGCCAGCTCTCTCTTATATACCAGTTAGCTCTTTAAGGAAAGGAATGTTGAAGAGAAGGGGTCCAACGACCATGCCTAGGAAGAAGAAGAAGAGGCAAGAGCAAAACAAATGTTTGGTCCTAAAGGCAGGGGAGGAATCAGGAAATCAGGAGAGCATAAAGTTGTGGGAGACAAGAGGAATGAGGAGGAGGTCAGTGCAAATGCAGCATAGAGTTTAAAGGAGGGTAAAAATAGAAAAGGAGATTAAATTTGGCTGGTTCTCACTGGTGGCCTTTGAAAGAGCCATTACAGTGAAATCACAGATGTGCAGACCACAGTATGCGTGGGAAGAACATGAAGGTAAGGATATAAGCCATTTGCTTTTTTTCAGGTCATGAAGAGTACAAGAAAGCTAAGAATGAGGATTCCTACATTTATTCTCTGTCCTTTAATCTGTGATCCCCTAGGCGTCACTTTTATAACTGGAGCCAGTGTCCCTATAAACACAAAACTTAGGGGATTTTTCCCCCCTTCTTTCTTTCTTCGTTCATTTTGCAGAAGATGTGACACTCAACTCTCTGGTGTCCGAAGCATTTGTCAGGTTTTTTGTTGAACTGGTGGGACATTATTCTTTGAGCATGACTGTCACTGAGCATGGGGAGCGTGTATTCCAAAGGGAGCCATTCCGTAAATCCCACACCTCCCGAAGTGTACGCCACTTCCTGGATCTCTTCATGGAAACTCAGATGTTTGCAGGATTCATCCAGGACCGAGAGCTTCGGAAAAGTGGGGTGAAAGGTCAGTTTCATCATAAAGTTCTCCCTCTGTATTTAGTGAGTACTTGAAAGATTTGAAAATAATATTAAAAAAAATAGCATAAAGCTGCAAGGGCTCACTGTGAGTTATTATGGGAAACATTTATTTTGTGATATTGTTTTAGCTACGGAAGTACATTGGTAGTGAGTACAGAGTTTTATTCAATTGATTTTCAGTCTTAAATGTATGGCAGTTTCATCAACATGAGTTTTTCTTGTAGGTTTGTTTGAGGTCCGGGCCCTCCAGTATTTGGAAACAATTCCTGAGTCTGAGCCCAGTGGAGTGAATAGAATTTTGCGGACTCTTGGTAAGTTGCTGTGTTTTCCTGTTAGATAAATATAGTTAAAAAAAAAAAAAAACTTTTGCGGTAAGCATGCCTCATCACAAAAGCTTTATCATCACATCAACAATATAACCTCAAGGAGGGTGACCAGAAACCATGACCCTATTTCCAAAGTGTTTTGGAGAAAGACAAAACTCTTTCTCAGAGGTTAGGATTCTCCATCAGAGTCGTCCATGGGGCTGTTTTCCTCAGATGAAGCTCCCTCATGATATAAGAATTTTGGATATCATGATTATTAATCTTTTCTAGGCCACATCCCTGGAAGAATCTTATTAGAATCTGCACCTTTCCCCAGAAAAATACACTTGGAGCATACAAACAAATTATGCATATAATTTTAGGGTGTTAATGGACCCCCTTGAAGCCCGTCCATATGCTCCAGGTTAAAAATACCTGGTTCAGAGGGCATCTGAGGCAAAAGAGGATTTCCTGCAAGTCTCTAATTTTACTCTTCATAAGGAAACACAGTTGTTTATGATTTTTCAATTATAGTTAACTTTTAATTATCCAGTATGATGTAGGAGAACAGTGGTGTGGTAGCCCCAAACAATGAAGAACCTGTACTCTATGGTATTTATATTGATCTTTGAAATATATGCCCCCCTAATTAAAATTAGCCCCTAATTAGCTGAGAGACCATGGACAAATTATGTCTAGGGCTATTATTTCATCTTTATACCATGGTGTTAGATTAGATCAGTGGTTCTCAGCTCTGATTACAATATTATAATCTCTGGGGAATTTAAATGAAAATCCAGGGAATTTCCTGGCGGTCCAGTGGTTAGGACGTCACGCTTCCAATGCAGGGGCATGGGTTCGATCCCTGGTCAGGGAACTAAGGTCCTGCAAGCTGTGTGGTGCGGCAAGAAAAAGAAAAAACAAAAAGAAAATCCACCCCACACCAGGCTCCACAAAATCTCTGGGGAGCAGGACAGCTGATTTTAACCTACAGTCAGGTTTGAAAACCATGGGATTAGATGATGTCTCAGTTCTCTTCTACCTCTACAATTAGAAATGTGGGGATTTTGTGTGTGTGTGTGTGTTTGGTTTGGTTTGGTTTGGGGTTTTTTTGGTGGTTAAACACATCAACTGATAGCTTGAGATGGCAGCTTACTTCTGGGCTGTTCTGAATGACTAGGGTTAATCCCTTGCCTCAAATAATGTATAATAAATAAAAATGAACTAATGAGAGTTCACTCTACTTTTTTTCCTTTAGGAAGTAAAATGAAATTTCTTCAGAAGAAATGAAACCTTTGATTGACAGCCACCATCCTAAATAGAACAGAAAGTGACAAAGAAACTATTTTTCCAAGAGTCAAGATGTCCTGAAGTATTCTACAAAGTCTTGAAAGTTGAAAGGTTACAGAGCGGGCCAGGTTCTCGGAGCAGGATTCTCCTGTTGCTGCTGTAGTAATCACTGGAGAATTGTTGGGAGTGGTCTGGAAGCAATGCTCCCTTTACTCTGCCTCCAGATTTTTTTTAAGTGGCCTTTCTTTTTGATTCTTGAGCTCATTCTTTGTGTTTTGAGCTTAGTCTATGAAGGCACTTGTCTTTTACAAGAAAGAGGTGGTGTTGCATTTTAAAAACAGCTCAAAGATGAGCACAATGAGAAAAGTGCTGCATTTAAGGTACTACGGAGGCATGATAGAAGTAGAGGACTAGCCCTTCACACATAATTCTCATCACTGAAATACCATGGCAGCTTTAAACCTATGGGCTGTTTGAGCTGAGCTAAGGACTATACTCGTCTTTTTTTTTTTTTTTTTGGTCTAATGCTCTGTCTAGGGGAATCTCACTTATGTGGAAGCCCTATGTATTATCACTGTTATTGAGTATCTTATAAAAATAGACATTTTATAGCGCCTCCTCCACATTGTGTGGCACTTGGGTAGCTTGTCCCACGCATGTCAACATTAAACTTTGGGGAATTATAGCTAATGGGGGACTTCCCTGGCAGTCCAGTGGTTAAGACTCCATGCTTCCACTGCAGGGGGCACGGGTTTGATCCCTGGTCCGAGAACTAACATCCCCCATGCATATTCCACATGCCGCATGGCATGGCCAAAAACAAGAAAAGAAAAAAATATATAACAGGAAAATGTCCTTTAAGGGCATGAGAACTACCTTCTTTTTTAGTGTCCACCATGTGCCATGAATGGTACATGTATGTATGTCATCTTGTTTAGTCTTTAAATCAACTATATTTGCATCTGCATTTTACTAATGAGGAAAATGGAATTCAGAGTTTAAATAACTTTAAACTGAAGCTAGGACTATTAGTTTATGAACACATAGAAAGTTGGTTATTCCTACAGATGGAAATTTGAACTCTGTGGGACTATAGTTATTGAAAAAGCTTTTTTTTTGTTTTTGTTTTTTAAGCTGAAGTGTACCAGAGTCAACTTGCAGCTCTGAGAATAAGGGACTTCAAACTATAGGTGTCTAGATGAGACTTTTTTTGGTTCCTCTAGAAATGTTGGACTTTTTGCTCTAGTTAAATTGGACTCAGAATATGGACATTTCCTGGGCACACACCACATAATCACTCCAATCCATAATATCTAAAGTAGTAGTAGTGGTATGAAAGAGGAATTTGTCAGCATTGGTGTAACGCTAATTGATAAATGTTACAGCAAGTATCAGTTTGTTTTCTTCAACTCCTGCTGATGGCTTTAACTGGGATAAAAAATATTCAAACTTAAAGCATTATAAGTTGTGTTATGATACAACTTATTAACTTGTGCAGTATTGTCACTACAACCCATTCAGGTGTGCGTGAATGGATCTGAAGCAGACACCATTTAAGATGGGTGCTGTATAATTCAATTCCTATAGATGTGGGCCAAGAAAATAGAACTAGGCCTATGTTAAAAAAAAAAAAAAAGCTTATTAAGCAGCTTACCTCAGTGGGGCTTTTACCAGACATTTCCCCATTTGGTCTCCTCTAACACTCCCACCCTGAGGGAACAATTAGTAACTGGGAATTGAGTGTTTATAAAATGGGGGTATAAGGTGTTACTGTGGTGGATCCCAGACATCCCTCTGTGAGGAGACCTTTTCTTCAGGGATGGGAGTCTTATCCCTGCGATCTGAAGCTGCTTCCTTTTCTTCAGTCTGTTTTATTTTTTGTTTGTAAAGTATTACAAATTCTGGACACACTTGTAAAATAATCGCTGAAAATTTGTATAAAATGTTTACAGATCTTTTAATGAATAAACAAACACAAAAAATTCCATGGATCTTCTGGAGAATTTGAAATAAAATTGTTTAAGCTGTAAAGATATTTTACTTCACTTAAATCTATAGCTAACACATTTATCTAATGGTAGGTAAAAGGTAATCGATCCAAGACTAACCAAGCTTAATTACAGTGGCCAACATTTCCAGGCTCTTGGCAAAGTCGGGGTCTAGATTTGCACACTGGGCACGGTATATATAGTCCGACTACCTTATTTGGTCTTTCCCTGCTTAGTCAAAAGGAACTGGAAGCCAGGAACCAGAGACTGGGCACCAGCAGTAGCAGGAGTGGTCGGAGGCAATGAGAAACTATTCTATTACCAGAAGTTCTAAAGGCAAAATGATTGGATTTTATACACGCCCTGAATGCGAAATCACAGTCTTTTTAAAAGATGGGATTAGCGGGTAGTTATCTAGCGCTGGGGGCGAGATCAGGTTCGTTTTGTTACGCAGAGTCTAAAGCTTCGCAATTTTAATTGGAGACTAGCGCCCACTTCCAGAATCTGTGAAAGAACTGCACTTAGTGCAAAGACCCTCGGGGCGCCGAGAACGAAGAATGATGGGGATACAGCAAGGAAGTGCAAAAAGAGAGAAGTTTAACGGAAGAAGGTGGAAGGTTAGGAGAGTAAAGCCGAGGTGGGAAACCAGTATCTTGCTCCCCGCCAAATCCTGCAGCCAGTTCCCTCCAAAAGTTTTAAAGGATTCCCCAACCAAATATCAGCGTCCTGGAGGAACCCAAAAGTCCCAACTCCTCTCCACTTTGCTGCCAGTCGGAGGCAAAACGGTAGAGCACGTGGGGACAGGAAGTTGAGATGTACCGCTGACTAGGGGAAACCACAACGTGACGTCAATTCCGACCAAAACAAAATGGCCGGGCAACTTCTAGCGAGCGCGCCATCAGAATTAACTTAGGCGCCAAAGCTGATGCGCAGGCGACGTCATTACGTTAGCGTAGGGCGCAGGAGTATTTAAGTGAACCTGAGCCAGCGCAGAGTCGGAAAACTTCGGCGAACCTAAGAATGGCGGGTACGGGTTTGGTGGCCGGAGAGGTTGTGGTGGATGCGCTGCCGTATTTTGACCAAGGTTATGAAGCGCCTGGTGTACGGGAAGCGGTAAGTTCGTGGTGTCTGTGTAACTGACTCAGCGCTCGCTGGCCCTTAGTGCTGGAAGAATCGCTTAACAATTTGCTGCCTCTACCCTGGCCTCTGTTCTCGTTCTTAGGCTGCGGCATTGGTGGAGGAGGAAACACGCAGATACCGACCTACCAAGAACTACCTGAGCTACCTGACAGCCCCGGATTATTCCGCTTTTGAAGTAAGATGTGATGTTTTGAGCCTAGCGTACGAACCAGGATCCTGTGAATCCTTATTTTGGATTGAGAGGCTTCGCCACGTAGAAGTGAATTTTAAATTCCAGCTTTAACTGTTACTTGCTTAGCTACTACTTACCCTGTTGTATAGGTATTGTCAGTCAGTTGAAAATAGCTACACAGATAAGCCTTCCCCGGGGTTCTTATTTCTGAGAACCACGGAAGGACTTTGTGGGGCTCCGCGAACTGACCTAACAATGCAAAATTTAGTGTTACGTTTTTCTGAGATAGGTTTATTGCGTAAATTCTCAAAGGGATCCTCTTCTCTCTAATTAAGGACTACTGTAAAACAAGTGATCTAGGGTTTTTAAAATATATTTACAAAAGCCTAATTACCTAAGCCTCTGAGAACCACTGGAGGGCGGCCTTTGTATCAAAAGTCTTAAAATATTTACTGGGTGGACGTGAATGACTGTACAGATAAATCATATCTAAGTGAACCATATCAAACCATTTAGCTATTTAGCCCAGAAGTGCACCCAAAATACTATTTAGGGTCTAATTAGCTGAATGAAATGTAAAATATCATTTCTAAGTTAATGGATTCTGTTAGGTGTTTTTTTCCCCCATTACAGTTAACCACTTATTTATGAAAGAATTCTGTTATTAAAACGCAGGATTTCCTATTGAAGTAACATGAAAAAAAATATTGGTTAAGTTTTAAGTAGGAGAGAGATGTTCCTATGGCATGCTGTTTTCCCATGCTTTTTGTAAATGATGTTGCCCAAATATAGATGTTATCACATTAAGAACTAAGGACAGTAATGGGTACTTATTAGCTTGATTTCTGAAAGTTTTAGATAACTGCATTCAGTCACAAACTTTTAAATACTTGAGCTAGTTTTCTTTTTACCTCTTTTAGATACAACCTGTGTTTCCTGTCTTTATAATTAGTATGCTGATTAGTTAACACTTTCTAATAGTGGAAGCTAATAGTGTACTGAGTTCACTGTCTCAGTCCTAAAAACAGCTCTGTGAACTATATAACTGTATGTTTATTATCCCAATTTTTTAGATGGGAAAACTGCAGGTTAGGCTAACTAATTTGCCCAAGACCTTAAGCACTCCTCAAACTGCCTTTGAACTGCTCTTTCATTGATTCATTTAACAACTATTTCTGAAAATCGATTATATTCGAGTTATTGGGGAACAGGAGTTTAAATTCTAGAGTGTGGAGACAGATAAATCAGAAAATATCAGATTATTGATAAAGCTATACAGAGAATTAAAGTAATGATGTGATATAGAGTGACTGGGTGACTGCTTTAGATAGGATGGCTGAGGAAGGCCTGTCTAAGCTGAGAATGAGAATGCTCTATGAGCAGGGATCTTTTTTGTCTTCTTCAGCACTGTATTTTCATCACCTAAAACAGTGTTTGGCACACGATAGGAACCCAGATATTTATCACTGAATGTATGAAGAGTGCCTAAGGCAGTTTAATGAATGCTTAATGTGTGCAATTCATGCCTGGAGTTCTTCTTATGACTTAGCCCTGTGAGAATTGGCTCATTCTTTGAAGAGAGTTGAGTTAAAATTCCAGATCTGTCACTTACTAGCCATGTGGTGTTACGTGGCTGAAGATTGGCTTGTACTATATTTTTGTAGTTTCTGTCTTACCTAATTGTTAGTTTTTACTCTGTCACTGTGCATAGCCTTCTAGCTAGAAAGCCTTAGTTTCTGCAGGAAACTAAGTAACCACATTTTCTTAGAGTTGTGTGAAACTCAGCAATAGTCCAAAAAAAAGTCTTTCTCCAATGAAGACATGCTTAATGCACAATTTTTAAGCAAGGAATGTGACCTCTGGAAGGTCTTTTTTGCCTGCTCTTTAGTCTAAATGGAATAGGATGTTGACCAAAACACTGGACTTAAAGAGGTAGAGCTATACCACATTTTTTTAAAAATAGTAAAATTGTTAGAGCAAACAACAGAACCAGGTCCTTTTGTCCCTTCCCCTGTTACTCCTTTGCAAAGAGTAAAGTGAAAAGAGCAGCCAGGATCAAAAAGAAGGTATAGGTTTAGGCTCATAGCGCTAAAGCAAATTATTTTATGTCCCACGTCCTCTTCTCTCTTCCCATGCCCCCAGTGAATACTTAGATCCATAGTTCTCAACACCGGCTTGACTTTACAATCAACTTGTGAGTTGAAAGCAAAAGTTATAATCACGTCCTGTAGTGGGGGAGAGGAGTGATAATGTGAATTGTATTGGAATTGTTTTTGAAACTCCCATTTGATTCTAAATGTGTGCTGGACTGAGAACCACTGATTTAGGATTAATCCTTTTCTCTGAGGGCCCCTTTACATATGAAGTGTGTGTGTGCCTGTGCACTTC